GTGATTAAATGTTCAGATATCTACCTAAGAAATGTTATCTGGAAAAGGACGCACACTTAAATTTATTTACATAAAATATCCACTTCAGGTACTGATACAAAACATTAATGATCTTTACTGTTGTATGAGAATTGCATGTAAATACTATTGTGTATGTCAGTACGTCATCCTCAAAACTTAATTATGTAAAAATAAAACTATTAATTGAATACAAGTGTAACTGACTGCAATAAGAGCATGGATACAACCAAAAACATTATAGGTGATTATTGTCTTTTAATGCATATTTTCTTGTAATTTACAAAGGAATGTGAGTCTAGTCTCAAAAATATCATAAAGTGCTTACTACTCTGAAAAAAACTTGCATTTTGTGTCTCTTTTAAATGCATGATGCAAGTAAACACAAAAGGAATCATATATTGTGCTTTAGAATGCTCAGCAGCATTCCATAACATATATCTCCTGTATTAAGGTGAATGCCCTTGTGAACTTTAATATATTTGAATAAAAGAAACCCACAGCATTTCTGTAATAATCTATGGAGTGTTTAGTTTCCTTTGATGATTCAAGTTAACATGATGGTATTCAAGTAAAAGAATGTCTTAAGCTTTACAAAGGATTATTTACTGTTTGTACTATTTTGTAATTTGTAAATTATAGGATGGATACAAAGGAGGAAAAATAGAGTTGTCCTGGATAACAATTAAAGGTTTCTATAGTGTTTTTCTGTTGTCTTTTATTTTATATATTTATTCCTAAAGAGGTCCTTTGCCAAAATATATCTAGTAACCCTTCAATCTAGAACAGCTGGAGAGATATTCCTCTTCTGTAAAACAATGCATGATATGTATGTTTTTCTTTAATATTGTTTTAGTCAAGTCAAAATAGCATATGCCTTCCCATAAGTTCTTTTCAAATTAATTAAGATGAAGGCTAGCAAAGAGTTTAAAGGCCTTTGCTATAAACTGCTTAGAGAAAAAAAGTGGGCTCTGAGTAATGTAAATCCCCTTTATATGTATCATTACTCTTTTCTTTTGAGATCAAGCTCTTTTTCTCATAGTAAACAAATTAAAACTAACACCTATGCAATATTTGTTAGTATCAACCTCCTCTGTTATGATCATTGTCTAAAGTGTTGTCTATGAGCAGGTGTGCACTGGAATAAGTACTGATACATTATTAACTGTAGGATTTTGTGAATTCCCTGGTAAGTGTTGTTTCAAACTAGTGTGTTCAGATGAAATGCACAAAAACTTATTTTAATCTCAGGTTTTCAGGTTTTCCCAAAGAACATTTTCCTAGATCATTGTAAAATTAAGCATATTAGTCTAATAAGCCTAATATTTTTTTCTATCATATGATTATTTTGGGAGGAATGCTCCTTGATAAATACATTGTAATATTTAATGACTAAATTCAGAATTAGAATCATGAAAAATTATTCAGCAAAATATATAAAAAATCTTCAAAAAAGAACATTTGTTGGGAAATTGGTCTTTTTACTTTAAAAATAATGGATCTACCCCTTGTGGATAACACAGCATCCATAAATGAGCATAAATGCATATATTTCCAATATATCTACTTTTGATGGTTAATAGTTAAAAAAGCAAACTAAATGTACTAGACACCAAAGATAGCACTATAGGAAGGCATAGTAGTGAAAAGAGTAAAGAGGATGAGTTTAGGATTAAATGTTAAGTCATATGAGTACAACAGTTTAAGATGGTATTGGAAAAGTTAAAGAGGGGTGAAGGTAGAGAGGGTGAGTAAATGAGTTAATGCAGGGTTAAGCAAAAGAGGAAATTCCATTAAGTGGAGGATATGTATGCATTTGAGGAAGATAAACATGTTGCAGATAAAAGTTTGGAATTCTGTAAGGATGTGTAACAGGTTGGGTGGTTGGGGAAGGAAGGATAAATAAGGGAAAGTAAAGGATCAGGCTGCAGCAAAGTGTGTGAGACTCATACAGTATGAGAGATAATGAGTGATGGGAATCAGTAAAAATAGTGAAAGAGGAGGAAGGAAGGCAGGACATGCGTTTTATAGCAAAAAGGAGAGTGTACGGTTCTGTAGTAAGGACACTGAACTCAGGAGGAAGGGGATAGTTGAATGTTGAATGAGTAGAGCAGACTACTGTGGAAAGCATCAGTGTAAACTTGGGTACTGAAGGAAGGATTGGACAACTAAATAAGTGAGAAAGACAGAAAGGGTGGTCTGATTAAGGTGGGTTAGAAAAAAACAGAGGAGCAAATACATGTATAAGCTGAGAAGGAAATAAATGAACACAGAAGGAAAGAGGACTGAGAAGTTGGAGTGGAAAAGGAGAGCATCTTGTGAATAGAGAATGGAATAGGTAAATATGGAGGAGAAAAGTTAGGAAGAAGAGATTGAGGGGTAGTTTGTTTGGAGAGGGAAAGTTGGTAGAAATGAGCATAGCATTGGAGTGTGACAAGCACACAGAATCAAGAGAGAGATGGCAGGCCTGATTCAGCCTACAGGGCTCTCAACTGGAAATGAGGGGAAAGAATCTTACACAAAGACTGTAGTGGTAGACTGTATCAAGGTGAATAAAAGGGAGGTAGAGGCAGATGATTAGATATGGCATCCAATTAAGTGGAAACAATCAGAGTAACATGAAGATGGACAGTTTTGTGATCTGAACCCCAGGATGTATGGGAGAAAGTCTGTAGACATATGAAGCTGTGGTGAGCCTTTTCTTTAATGATGAAAATATGGTCATGCCAGGACAGTTTGGAGTTAAAAATAAAACCAAAAACTTTCCAGAGGGCCAGTATTGGAGTGGAGCACCATAAGAGATGAGTGGAGGTTGGGCACAAGAGAAAAGATTAGAGAAGGATTTGGAGGTAGAACAGTGAAAACCTTGATTAGTGGCCCAGGAAGTTACTAATGATACTGCAGACTGGAGGAGTAGATGGACAGCAGATATGGGCCAGAGGCAAAGATGGTTAAATCATCCACATGAGATGACCTGGCCCGTGGCGATAGAACTGAATATATACATTAACAGCAAGGAGGAATATGGTAGTGCTGAGCACACTGCCATGCAAGTCAC